ACATACCTTTACTGCCAGATAAAATGTTCTCTGAGTCCTTTTTAAAGGTGAAGCAACAAGCAGTTTAAGAAACAAGAGTGACTTTACCAAACTAAATATAATATGAAAAACCTAAGTGGGGGAAAAAAACCAAACTAAAACCAAACAACCAAAACCAGCAAAGAACGTCTTCCAACTCAGCTATCCCCACAAAACCTTATTTCCTCCCTCTGTTCCTACCTGGTCTCAAGTAATGCCGCTTGTTCAAAACACTATGGCTATAATCAGCTCAATTAGGTCACAACTAGGAAAAAAACTTCCTTGTATTTAGCAAACACCACCAAAGACTAATTATTACTGATACCAAATTAAAAAAAAAAAAAATCCTAGGCATTTCTCTGCTTAAGGCCATTTTAAATTGAAATCTAAAAATAGACAGACAAGAAGACGACTTAAACAATTTTATCAGTGGTTGATTTATTTCAGCTTTTTGCTCTCCCTGGTTACAGTTCAGTGCAACCCATAAATAAGTTAGGCCTGTGAAGGAGATTGAATTTTTGAGGCCAGAACAGTAATTGAGGAATTGGAACAGCCTGGAGGTTGAAATACCATCTCCTGGGACATAAGCCTTTGGACCTATTAGCAGCTGTCTATATTGCTTTTCCAGCCATTGACACATATGACCATGTCAACATATTGAACTGATTTATGTTTCTTTGTGTCGCAAAAGGACAGATCTCGTATGTGTTCTGGGCTCCATTGCGCTGTTACTCTAAGACTAAGAACATCTCAAGTCAGTTAGCTACATAAATTACAACACATGCCAACATTTTCCTGCAAACTAAAAGTTTCCAGGCACCATCAAGCTTCTCTCAGGAACTGCCTTTCCATATTTAAAAGGCATCCAACCAAATCTAATATTTAGGAGGTCATAAAAAAAGGTTGAACAAAGCTTTAAGCTGTAAGCTTTTACAGTATAGTTACAAGAAAAAAAAAATCTTATTTCCAAAATGTGTTTACTGTATCTAACACCTTTTGTTTCTCAGCTAGTTTGCAAAATTACCGTTATCCACATAATCTCAAAGATTTTTCTCTTGTCAAGTACAAAAAAGTCAGATCTTTCAAAAATATGGGAAGGCCCAATTTCCTGTGAAGAAAATCTGTTCCAGTTCAGCACAATTCAATTATACAGAAAGCAGTAATTTTCACTTTTTCCACACTGTACTTGTCAGCACTTGCAAAGGAAAGACTGAAAGGGAAGCCTGAGAATGTTTTTGTTTTCCTTAAAACCAAAACAGAAAAACAAACCAAAGAAGCCCACCATCACCCACCACTTCATTTTTTCAGTCATTCTTCTCAGGATCAAAATTTCACAAGAAAACAAGAGACTCCACAGACATCCGAAGCAACAAGCGATGGATTGCAAAACCAACCCATGACCAAAGGCAAAAAGAAGTATCTCCAGGTCTTACTTCATATGAAAACATGGAAAAGACCTCAGCAGAAGCGCAGGCCCGCAGAGGACACCTGAGCTCTCTGTGGGGCACAGTGGCTGTTTTGGGGCAGCCTTGGGGGCTTTTTTACCTCAGGAATGGGCCCCGCCCCACCCAGCGCCTGCCCAGCGCCTCACTTGGTGCTGCCACCACATCGCTGCTCCTCCACCTTTGGCAATAGATGCGTGTTTGATTCACAGCTCAATACGCAGAAATAAATACTTCTTTCCCTCCCTCCTAACTTAGCATCCCACAAAACCTTACGCAAATGTCATTTCTAAGATGGCGTCTTTGAGCGTAGGCCACAGGCTTCCCAGGCATGACAGAAATGGTTCCCCACACAGCACCCCTGAGCAGTGGGGTTTCGGACACACCGAAAAAGAACAAAACTTGATAAAAGATCTAAAAGGCATCTCTGGGGTCTCAGGGCAGTGCTGTGAACCCCGCAGGGGCCGCAGGCCTGCTCAGGGCTCTGCAGCACAGGGAGGTGAGGTGGCAGCCAAAATGTGTTAGCACGAGGTTAACCTCCTCCTGAAAACAAAGCCAGCATTTAACTTGAAATCATTAAAGTGATGGATTAAAAAGGATAAGGGGAAATATGAGAAAAAGTCACTTCATAAACCACTATTAAAATCCACATTTCCACCTTTTGCACAGTCAGGCTGTAAAAAAAACATACATCTGTTTTTGTTTTGTAAGAAAAGATGACGGCAACTGAAACTAAAAAGCATTTCTTAAAAATAGAGTATCACATTTGTTCTGATCAAATTACTGGAATACTGGAATTAAGCACTATCAGTTATTCATAAATAATTTTTCTGATTAAATATTGAATCAAATGGACACATCATCATCATCTGTCTTGTTACAGGCTGTACTCACAGCACCTTGTGCTCTGCTCCTACTAGATCTCAACACAGACAGGATCAGTGATTCAGACATATGACACTAAAACAGAGATCTCTAATGAATAACGATGTGCTGCTCATAAAATACCGTCTCTCCAACTTGCTCTTGGGGGAACTCATGGCAGGTCCTGCCTCCCCAAAGGATCGGGCACTGCTCAGCCCCACAGGCAGGAGGCGGACGAGGGCTTCCCGTTTGCACGTCACTGCACTCCTCCGCAAGCCAGTGTCTGAGCTAGAGCTGTTCCAGTGGAAAGAGGAATGCATTTACTTTCCAATATTTGGCAGTATTTCTCCGTGACCACCAGAATACTGCTCAGTTGGACATTTTCTCTCCAAGTCTTGTAGACAAAAATCCAAAATCTAAAGGAATTTTCAGTCAGCTTTGACTTAGTTGAAAATTTTCATCCTAAGCAAGCAAAGAAAATAACAGCTCTTCACCAAAATGTCTTTGAATAAGAACAATTCCTGTTAGAAATGTGGTTTGACAGCCAGCCCCCTAAAAGAAAGAAAAAGAAAAACCACCACTCCTCCGCAGCTCAGCAGCTCCTCGGGAAGGTCTCTGCATGCAGTGGTTTATGCAGGGATGTGCAGGACAGAGGATCACCAGCCCCATGTTCTTCGGCTGCAGTTGTTCCCCCCCCACCATGTGCTGTCTCAGCAGCACCCTGCTCCAGCTGACACAGACAAAAGAACAGGACACCATAGCAATTAAATTAAAAAAAAAAAAAAAAATAATCACAAGGGCATCTTCAGAACAGGTGCTGTAAGCATGTTACTCACGACAGATTTTTAAACTTGACTACCTCCTACATACTCACAAGGTGTACGCAGCAGGCTCCAAGTCTCTGCTTGTCAGGGAAATAGCCCACTGGCACGATGATGGACAATTTCAGTACTAACTCTCAAAGCCCTTGCTTGCAGTTATAGTATTATGACACGGGCTGTAACGAGGTACACAGGTTAAGCAACTCATACAACTGGCTGGATGTTTACGATTTATGGTTGTAGTGTACTCCCTGAATGGCTCTTCTCAGCTGCTGCACTACTTCACTTACAGACCTTCACAGGAAAGGGTTAACAATCCCATACAGACACTTTTATAGTGCACACAAACAAGTATTGCAGTTCATTTAAAGATATGTGGACAGAAAAACTACAGATATTATGTATACAAATTATTTAATGCTAAAAAACCTCATATAGTAAAAGATTGTTAGGTAGTATTTATATACATCGAATGGGATTCATCACCTTTCTCTGCTTTGCAGATTTACTTTACTATTTTTGGAGAAAATTAAAACTTGGCACTCACTGAACATCAGATCTTTAAAACTCAGTAGAAAAAAAAAATCTGTATTGAGATTTTTAGATAAAGTATCCCACTTCAAGGATTAAGGACATCAAATACTATGGTAAAACAGGCCATGCAAAAAACACATTTCTCAACCTGAAATATTGAGTTAACTTGTACAGTCACAGATAACCATACTAATTAACAGTCTGTGAAGGTCTCCCTTCACTATGTCCAAGGATGATACCGTCGCATCTTCGCCATTTCACCCCATTGACATATGTTTTCTGGCCAACTTACCATATGCTTTTGAGATGTTATTTATATTACAGTTTACAGGGGAAATACTAATATTGTACATCTACAATACTTATCAGCTATCACCTTATCAGCAAATTTTAAATTATAGCAAAACTTTAATTTCATGAAAATATGAAGGAATTACACATTTTTGTTACTAGAATTCAGTTATTTTTATCTCACTAAAATAAATCAGTTTTCTAAATATCTAAACATAATTCATAAATCGAGATGAAAAACTGAGCACCATGCCTGTTTATTTCACACACTCCCCATTGCCCCTTTTCATATGTTCAAATATGACTCTTTTCTGAACTACACGATACACACGTAGGTGGTAGGCATGAGGAAGTTTTCCAGTGCTTGATGTAGCACATATTCAAGTTTGGAATAGAACCACAAATTACTATTTTTCAGGATAACTAGCACTGACAAGAAAGTAAATACGATTTTAAATGCCTTTGAAAGGCTTCTCTGATCACACTGTTGTAGATAAACTGCTGACAGTTTAAAGAAGCGGAGTGTTTATCTCAGTACTGCTGACACACTGAATAAATACCACCACAATATGCAAAATACCTACACTTTAACATCATCTTTTCTATCAAAATTATCTTGAGTGTTAGGTAAAAATAGTCAAAAGTGTGATTTATTGAGCATCTCAGTCAGCCTGATGACATGTCAGATTTTAATTTCGGTAGGTCAGGAGGATGGCAGGTCCAACTTCAGACTGGATGCTATCACCATTACTATTTTCCAAAGAGCAGTAAGTCCTACGTCAATGTTAGCTTTGCCAGGCTTGTCAACTGCAATGTAATCCTGGGGAAGTCGACTTAAAAAGGAGATAAAACAAATAATATATGCATCCATAACAAACTGAAAAATTTTCCCCATGACGAGAGTGAAAAGAAGTCTGGACTGTGCTGGACTGATGAAAAATAATCCATCCTGCCCCACCTTGTAACCATTAACGTAGATTTTTATCTGCTTTTACCACTACGAAAGAACAACAGACAAAATAAGAAAAGCTCAGGGCCGACACGTTTTATTCCTTGAATTATCAGGGGAAAGTTACCCAGACAGCAAGTGTAACTTTCCAAGGAGCACATAGTATCTCAAACAATATGCCTTATTCTCCATGCTGCTGACAAGGTTTTCTCAAATTACATAATTGTAAGTACTGCCCAAACCAGTATCCATATTATTTTTTTATAAAACCAAAAATCATTCAAACTGTAAATGACCACTATTCATTAAAATGTATTTTTCTTCAACTGTAAGCACAGTTCTGAATGATGTCAGGTGAGGCAGTAAGGAACTGTTAACTGCTGAAGAGATATAAATAGAAAATAAAAGCATTTTAAGAGTCTTCTTCCATAGCCACATCCTCTTGTAGCTTCTGCACCATTTTGTCCTCCAGCTGTTTTGGTGTGCCTTCAAAGCAAAGAAAAAAATTCAAGATGTCTCTCTAAACCCAAATAACTATTCTTCTTTGAACAATATATGTGTCTATTCTAGGTGAAACAGCCTAAATATATTGCTTAAGGAGTTGTTTAGGAGTAAACCCATCAAGCTTACAAGTATTTATTGCTAACCTCCAGCACCACCTAAAACGACTGAAGAATCGTTTTAACAGAAAAGCTGATGCTGTTTTTATGCAAAATCTGAAATGCAGTCAAACATATGTTTTCATCCAGTATGATGAACTTTGATATAGCTGGCAATACCTAGCAGAACCTTGCAAAGGACTATAAAAATGCATTACTTTTAACAGATCAACGGCCTTCACACATTAGTTTTTATATAAAGATTTAAGCCCTCCTGAATGCTGTGTTGGATGGCAGTGTTAACTCTCAATAATACTACCAAAAAGAAGAAAAAAAAATAATCCAGGATT